CTCCTACATCTGGGGGATTTAATGCACCCACTGTCCGCTCGGTACATTTCCTGTGTCCGGAGCTTCTCTGCCTGCCGGCTCTGGTCTCATAAGTTTCCATACCCTGCTGCCAACTTATAATAACAGAGGCAACAGGCAGCAGGGTAGGAACGTCATCGCCCTCTCCATCCGTGGGCGCGAGCTTGCAGACTGAAACAAAAGCTTGGAAGACCTCATTGCAGGCCTTTCAGCCTTGACAGTGGTTGTGCCCAGACCACCAGTTGCCTGGAATTAAAACCCTCAGATCCAGTTCTCTACCATTAATGTTATCAACTTCATCAAGTACTTCCTCTTTGAGTGGTGTCTGCAGAGAAAGAAATAAATCATGCTCCTCCGAGGACTGTTCCTGCCCGGATCCTGAGTCCAAAGTAAAATCTGAGTTGATTATCCAAAGCACTGTCTCCTCCTTTATTGTTCCCAGTGATCTGGGCAGGAACAGAGAGTGAAATCTCTCCAGGACATTACATCAGTTCCTCTTTTACCCTTGGCATGAAAGTTCTTCCTCTCATAGTCCTCCCAGACTTCCTAAGACTTGCCTGAGTGCACACCCATGCACAGCCTTGAAGCCCAGGACATCAAAGGAAGCCTGCAGGTAACCAGACTACTGGCCAACGCCTGTGTCCATTTTGAAATTTGTAAGACGGGAAATGGACTCAGGAAATAGGATTTTTCAACACATGGTCTTCATCATCCTTAAGTATTTTTAAACCTTAATAAACAATTAAGGAAAGGGAGACATTCTGTTAATGGCATTTAGAAGAAAATACATGAAAGTTCAAAATGCAGCTACCTTAAATACTTGCTTACTTACAAAGGCCATATTATGTGACAGATGAAAAGTGAACCATGGACAAAAGATGAATTCATTTTCATGGATAGCAACATTGAGATCCATTGGATTCAAGTGAGGAAGTTAGAACTTCTTATCCCAACCTGTATCATCACAAGATCAATTCCACACTTAAAAAATGTTTTATAGTGGGAAATATCACACTGATAGGATTATATAATGAACCAGCATGTACCCATCACCAGCTTTGATCATCAATTATGGCCAGTTTTGTTTTCTCTGTGTCCCACCTGCTCTCTGATTTACCATCCAGATTATTGTCAAACAAATCTCAGATACATAATTTTATCTCTATTTATATCAGTACAAGTCTAAAAAGATAAGGACCCTTTATAAAATCATAGTCACAGAGCTTTCACATCACCTGAAAACTAACAGTTCCTCAATGTCACCAAATATCCTATTAATATTCACATTTTCCCAACTATCTCTTCAACATTTCTCCACTTTAAATCAGAATTCAAGCAAGGGTCTATATGTTGTGAATGGTTGATGTGTCTTTTAAGTCTCTTCAACCTATAGGTCTCCGTGTCTTTCTTTCTTACATGTGCACTTGTTCTCCTCTCTCTCTCTCTCTCTCTCTCTCTCTCTCTCTCTCTCACGCGCTCACTTTCTCATTCCTTCACTCTCTCGCTCTTTTTGGGTATTTAAAAAGAATTTAGCCAAAAGTAGCATAACTTTTCCCCTGTACATAAGTTGTCATTTTTTCTCAGGTTACTTTCAAGATTCTCTGTCTTTGGTTTTCAGCAGTTTGACTATGGTGTGCCTGGTGTAGCTTTTGTTGTATTTATTTTGCTTGGGATTTGTTGAGCTTCTTGGACCTTTAAGTTTGACGTTGTTACCAAATTTGGGGGCAATTTGACCATTATTTCTTCAAATTATTTTGCCCCATTCTTCCTATTCTCACCTTCTTAGACTCCAATTACATGTCTATTAGACCACTTACTATTGTTTCACAGGTCACTAAGGATCTGTTTATTTTTAATTTTTATTAATCTCTCTCCAAGTTTACTAACCCTATCTTCTATCATCTCCAACCTGCTGTTAAGTCCATGCAGTCCAGTTTTTCATTCCAGATATTGTATTTTTTTTCAGTCCTAAAATGTTTTTTTTGTGTTTTTTTTAACAGTGTTCATTTCTCTTCTGAAAGTCTCCATCTGTTATCATTAATTGTGGTCATCATTTCTTTTAAGTGCTTGAACTCATAACTATTTAAAAGTTCTTTTTTTTTTTTTTTTTTTTTTTGCTAATTTCCACATCTAGCTTATCTCAGTCTGTTTTGTTGATTGCCTTTCCTCTTGATTATGGATCACATTTTTCTGTTTCTTCATATGTCTAGAAAACCTTTATTGGATACTGGATATTCAGTAAAGATAGGGAGCACATTATAGAGACTCTGTATTATGTTATATTCCTCTGAAGGGTGTTGCTTTTCTTATTCTAGCAGGCAGTTAAATGACTGGCCAGTCACTTTGAATTTGTGGAGGCTTGGTCTTACATTTAGTCAGGACAGATCTATTCTAGTTTTGCTGTTAGCCCTCATGTAAATCCCTTTGTCCTAGAGCATTATCTTTACTCCTAAGGTGTGGCCATTCTGGGTTAATCAATAGCCTGAGGTGTTGACAGAGTTTGGTTGATAGGATTTAAACTCCAAACTCTATCCAATACAGTGGCCAGTAGCTGAGATTTCTGCTCATATCTTTCACTGAGCTCCTTAGAGTGTCTCCTGCACATGTGCTCTTCAGAGCATACGTTAAGGATTTACAGGAACTTCATGTGCCAGTTTAGTGGTACTCCCTCTGAGGCTTTCTTCTTCATGAGACTTGCTCTCTCATTTTTTTTTGCCATTCTGGCAGCTTCATACTCTAATCCCTGACACCTCAAGCAGCTTTCTATTTTCTAGCTGCCCTACATTACATGGACTGAGGAGAATCTCACTCTTAATTTTCCTTCTTTTAAAATCCCCTTCAGTTTTCTCCATTACCTTCAAATCACTTATATAAATGTATTCTATCCAAACTCTAATATTTCTGTATATAGAAAGGTTAGGCTAGTATAGGCCACTCTGCTATTATTGAAACTGGAATCCCCTTCTTCTTTATTAGAAAAATAGTAGTATACCATAACTACTTTATCTTGCCCTGGCCAGTGTGGCTCAGTGGGTTGAGTGTCATCTTGTGCACCGAAAGGTCGCTAGTTCGATTCCTGGTCAGGGCACATATCCATATTGCAGGCTCAATCCCCTGGTGGGGGTGCACGCAGGAGGCAACCAATTGATGTTTCTCTCTCTCCTTCTCCTTTCTTCTCTCTCTAGAAATCAGTAAAAACATATTTAAAAAAATAAATACTTTATCTTGCTTTGCTTATCTAACCATAGAGCCTAGAGACCAGGCTTAGCAGAATATTAAGATACTCCTCATTTTATTTTCTGGCTGCACAATCCTCCATTGTTTAGAGATACACTCTAATTTATGAAACCACTCTCCTATTGGTAGCCGTGCCAATGATTAAGCACTTTTAAATTCATGGCAGCAGCTGCCCTGGCCGGTTTGGCTCAGCGGTTAGAGCATTGGCCTGCGGTCCTGAGAGACCCGGGTTCGGTCCCCTCTAAGGGCGCGTACCTCGGTTGCAATTTGTCCCCGGCCCTGGTTGGTTGTGCGGGTGGCAGCCACTCGATGTGTTACTTTCACATCGATGTTTCTCTCTCTCTCTCTCTCCCTCCCACTCTACCTGAACAAAAAAATGGAAAAATGTCCTCGGGTGAGGATAAAAAAAAAAAAAAATTCATGGCAGCAGGTGATACAGTAGTTACAAAATTAACCCTTTGCCTTCAAGCAGATGATCTTTTAGTGACCATGAACAGTATTTATCTTGTTCACTGTCTCACCTGACAGGTGAGATCTAGAGGCGTCCCCATTTTCCTGTTAACCCTGTGCAAACTGTCTAATAACCACCACCTCTGTCTGTCAGGTTCCCAGCTCCCCTTTATATGTTCTTCAGATAGATATTGCTTTGCTTAAAACCATGGACAAGTCTTGATCAGAACAGGGACTTTTTGGTGAGACAGCTCTGGGAACAGATATGGCCAGAAAAATGTCATTGAGGTAGTGTGGGGCCCTGTAGAAAGCTCCGTTCCCCTGGGCAGAAGCCTCTCCTTCCTCTCCTCAGCAGGGCCTGTGAAAGCCAAGTGTGTGCTGGTTCCTCCGTCAACCTGCCTACAGAACTACTTCTGTTGCTAGGCTGAGTATACTTCTCATGTAGTCCTTGCTCAAATGTCAGAGGGTGGAGGTATGTTAGGGGTTCTCCATCCCTCCTCCTCCTTCACGTACCTCTACCTGTCTCTAAGCACTTGTTGATAGGGTCTGAGCGTGCAGAGACAAGGCGATTCTAAATGTTCTTTCAAGTGCAATTAGATTATTGTTCTGTACATTGGGCCCACTGTTCATGCTTAGAGCAGGTTTGGATGTGACTTCCCCAGTTTGTACATAGCAAAGTGGTAGGTCTTATAATAGGTACATAGGTTCTAGACTCTGATTGGAACGTGGTACTCATCCCCTAACTGGCTGTGTGACCTTGGGTAGGTTAACTCCTGTAGGCCTCCACTTTCCCACTTGTGAAATGGGATTACTGTAGTTAGTCTCTCCTACTTAAGTGTATTATAAGTTTTAAACAGTGCAATGCAGTTCCTAGGATATAGTAATTGCTTCATTATCATCATCATCATCATCATCATCATCATTAAATACTAACAACTCCTGGAGGTAGAGAATATGAAAATATAAGTCAGTGAAAGCACTAGAGAGAAACCCTTAAGGACCCTGAAAGCCACATGGAAGCATCAGAGACAAAGAATGAAAGTTTGGCTTTCTTGTGTTCGTAAGCCACTAGTAGGAGATTCATGGAATGTTCGTAGACGTTCTTAGCTGTCTAACAGCAGGAAAAGAATTGTAAGTGTGCGCACTTTAAGTTCCTCTGCGGTGAAACGACTGCAGCCTGGGAAGCAAGTTGCTGCACTGCGCACACCCCCCTGTTCACTGCTCTAGACCCACAGGGAGGTCCCTCTCCTGACAGTTCATGGCGGGCTGTGATTGTCTCTCCCTGTGCTCCACAGATAACTGTGTCCAGAGGACCCCGAGGCCGTCAGTGGAGAATGTGCACCACAACCCTCCCACCATTGAACTCTTGCACCGCTCTAGGTCACCCATCACGACAAATCACCGGCCATCTCCCGACCCAGAGCAGCGGCCCCTCCGGTCCCCCTTGGACAACATGATCCGCCGCCTCTCCCCGGCCGAGAGGGCCCAGGGACCAAGGCTCCACCAGGAAAACAACCACCAGGAGTCCTACCCCCTGTCAGTGTCTCCCATAGAGAATAATCACTGTCCACCGTCCTCCGAGTCCCACCAGAAGCCATCCAGCCCCCGGCAGGAGAGCACGCGTGTGATCCAGCTGATGCCCAGCCCCATCATGCACCCTTTGATCTTGAACCCCCGGCACTCCGTGGATTTCAAACAGTCCAGGCTCTCCGAGGACGGGCTGCATAGGGAAGGGAAACCCATCAACCTGTCACATCGGGAAGACCTGTACATGAACCACATCATGGTCTCCGTCTCCCCGCCCGAGGAGCACGCCATGCCCATTGGAAGGATAGCAGGTAAGTGGGTGCTCCCCTCTGCCGCCACTTCAGCCTCAGGGGGAACCTAGCAAAGCCCCACTGTCTCCCTAGAGCCTTGCAGCTAGCCTCACACCATCCCCAATTAGGTGCCCTCCAAGGCTCTGTGAAGGCCAGCGGGGGCTTCTGCCTGGATGAGGCGAAATCCCTAATGGGCTAGTTAATGAGCCGCTGGGACAAAGCAGTTAATGAGCCTCAGAAATGTTTAAAAAAACAAATGTCCTACATTCAACTTATAAGGAGAGTCACATCAGAATCATGGCAAAGTGAAAACATTTAAAATAAAAGGTTTATGAGCATGTTAATGGCCCTGTCCTAAAGTTTCCAGCCACTAATTAATAACCAGACACAGCACAAAGAATCCTTGTCTCAGATTCAGGCCTATAATTCCACCCATAGCTCAGTGCAGCCGTGGGTAGGAGAGGAACACAGGATGGTGGTGTGGAGGTAGGTGCCGTTAGGTCATTCGGACCGAGGAAACCACTCTTGAACTCTTTTTTTTTTTTTTTAGTTTTTTTTTTCTTTATTGATTTTATAGAGAGAGGAAGGGAGAGGGAGACAGAAACATCGATGAGAGAGAACATTGATTGGTCGCCTCCTGCATGCCCCCCCCCCCCCAGGGATCTGGCCCACAACCCGGGCGTGTGCCCTGACTGGAATCGAACTGGCGACGTCTTGGTGCATGGGTCGGTGCACAACCACTGAGCCACACCGGCCGGGCACCACTCGAATTCTTTTACTTTTATGATGACAAGCCCAATTTTGCTTTCCTAAGACAAGAAACTAGTGGAAATCTACACATTGCATCTTTGCTAGTCTTCCATAATCTAGGTGAAGTCATTCTCCAGAAGTTTAATCCTCCAACCACTTGGCAAGATTAGCTCTTTAAGATGAGCTCTTTTCCTGGAGCATTGCTCCGTTTGTGACACATTTGTTGTGCACCGACTATGTGCAGATAAACACATTAGGAAACAGGGGACACGGAGCTGATTTAACACAATTATTTCCTCGAGGAATTTAAAATTTACTGGGAGAGACAGATGGGAAAACCACTAACTAAGATATAAGGCAGAAGGAAACAGGTCCTGTGTCCCATTCATTCAGAGCGCAAGCATTTACTCACTTATTTATTACTCACTCACTGTGTGCTAGGATAATTAAGTACTGTGGAAGCAAGCAGACAGCAGGCACGCTTTGACTGGAGGAACTGGGGTAGCTCGATGCTGGAGGTGATTTGTGTTCAGTAGCGGAGCGATATATGCAGGAAGGGAGAGTCAGGCCTGTTCTGGGAAAGGTGAGAAATGCCTCTTCCTCTGCCAGCCGCTGCCCCAGGACAAAGTGCCCGCTGAACCCCAGGCTGAGTGCTGCCTCTGCCTTGACTCATGGTCCCTTTCTTATTGAAATCGTGTGTTTCCATAGTGTTCTCTGGCCCCGGTGCACCTGCAGTGTTGCTTCAATTTTATTGTTATAAATAATTTACATCAGGAATGTTGAATCAAGAAAATGAGATGGCAAAGAAATAGGACTTATGTTTTAAAACTATGAAAAATGAAATGATCTATGCCTGGGATTGATTCAGAACGATCCCGCAGGGTCGGGCATGAGGAATGGATGGGGTCTACATAAAATAAGGTTAGCCCTGAGCTGGCGGCTGTATGGCTGGGTGACCCATGCACAGGGGGGTCACATTATTGTTCTTTTTTCCTGTGCATATATATATACTTTTTAATAATAAAAAGAAAAACCGGGAAAGAAGAGCAGGGAAGAAGCGGAGCTTAGACAAAGCATGTGCATTTCCCCAGACAGCTGGAGAAAGAGCATAGGTCAGGGCATCCCCGTGGACATGTAGGACCCACCTCAGGCCTTCCAGCAAGGTCCTTCTCGCGTGGTTTGCGCGTTAGTACTGAATGCTTTGCAAATACTCCCTGCTTGTGTGTAATTCTCAGGACAGCTCTTTGAGGCAGCTTATTACTGCTCTGTTTGGTTTGTATGGGTCATTTGGACAGGGGAAGCCACAGAGGAAACCGAGCCCTAGAGACGCGGAGGTCAAATGGGCTGTGTGACTGCAGGACAGCCCTAGCCGCCTGTCCACGGCCGCCAGCAGTGCTGCCGCTGCCCTCGCGGGGCCGCCGGCCGCTGACATCTGTTGTGTGTGCCCCCTCCGTGATGTCTTCACAGGCTTCTTCGGAATCTAAGATAATCCTGTACATAAAGAAAGTTACGTTTTATAGACTTATGGAGTTATTTTTCTCTTGTTTAGCAGTTTGAAATTTTAAAAATATTAGTCTCTTAAAATTGTGCTATTTTTTTAAATCTTTTTCCCAAATTTCAGAATTGTTGGATGATGGATGTAGTCTCATCAGTTAGAAGCTCCATGGAATATTGTACCAACCAAGTGACGAACCTTGGTGCCTATGGATGCCCTCTCTCTTAGGAGCACACAGAAAAGGCGAATCTGTGCTTTTGTTGAAGACTCTAGGAAATCAGAATGTTCATGTCAACAATCCTGGGGCCCAGATCCTGTGGAGGAATGTGTTAACTCCTGCAGTATGATACAGTCCCCTAAAATTATTTACTATTAATGTCCTAATGGTATATTCAAAAGTTTAAACATCTCCAGGTGTCTGTGCTGACTAATAGACCAAATCCAGTATTAGCTAATTTAACTGAAAGGCACTGTTTTCCTCATGGGTGAAATGAGAGGGTTGGAAAGCTGATGGTGTGTGTAACAATCTAACTCCAACTCCAGAAGTCTGTGATCTGACGGTCTGGATTCTGTACCCTCCAAAGAGAGCGCATCACGATTCTAGGTGCCTTCGTTTCATTTGGGAGATCCCTGTCTCTCCGCCCCAATCCTTCTGGGATGTTTTTGGATTACTCCAGTCCTTGTAAAATTGATTCTGTTTATTGAAGGTCAAATTTATTGGATGATTTCTATGTACAGTGTAAAGTTCTGTCATTACTAAAGAGCCATAATAATCTTTCAATTCTCTATGAAGCAGCTGTTAGATGAGAAAACTTAGTTCCTTAAGCTTTTTGAATGAGCACAGAGCAGAAGGAAATGAAGATGCTGTTGAATGTCGCTCGCTGAATACCGTAGCTGGAGGGTACGGATAGAAACACTACTTATGAATGTCGATCCAATAGTAGAGTTGAATTCTTATTTGTTCAGATATAATTTTCTCAGATACCTTAGGATTTATGCATTTGGACACCTGCCTTTAAGGTGGGTATTGGAGGAGGGGTAACACCTTAGCTGTAAATGCTGTATGTGGTATCTTCAAAGGACTCCTATTAAATACTAATAGGAGGTTGGAGCAGGCCTATCAGGGAAGGCTTCGTGGAGGGGCTGGCTTAGATGTGAATGCTTCGAATATGAGCAAGTGGAGATTAGGGGAAAACAGTCATTCCTGCTGGAGAAAAGACAAACACGATTCCTGCTGGCCAGTCTATTTTTTTCTGCTTCGGGTAAAAATGTAAATCCAAGAATCCAGGTCCATTAAAAACCCATTATACTTCATCAATTCTTTATTTTTTCACTGTTTAATATTGAGATGCATCATACAATTAAGAGATTACACGCAAAGTTATGATAGTTTACCTAGGTATTTATCTCATGGCAAAACTAAAATAATCAATAAAGGAAATGCTAGAGGTAGTTGACAATTTAAATACAAACCGCAAATGCGATCTATTTAAATATACCATGCAGCTTATTTTTGAAAGTGTCATTTATTTTTCAAAGCACAAGATGGACCGTTACTGAGTTTAACAAGTTGGAATGGCTGGCATTTCTGGGAGAGTTAACACAGGCCAGAGTTTTTATTGAATAGCTAATGGTGTGTGTAACAATGAGCAAATTGCTTCTTTTTGTGCTTATTTTCTATTTATTATCCTTAGGCAGGGAAGGAGGGGCAGCATCTGTCAGCCTTCTAACACTTTACCAGCCCACAAAAGTTTTACTGGCCTGTGTCTCACCAACGTGTTTTGTAAGCAGAGTACGTTGGCAGTGAGCTCCATGGTTGATGAGGTGTGGCTCTGGTGAGGCCATGAGTCATGCTTTCAGTGTGTCTTGAAATTCATTCTTAGAACTCGACGGTTCCAAAGCTAGAGGGTCTTTTACCGATGAGGAAATGGAGATGCGCACACATCGGGAGCCTCCTGCTCCCATCCAGTGTCCTTTCCCACACGTGTCCTTCTGAGCTGGGACTCCAAGCGGGGATCGAAACTCTGGCCCGTGGGCCAAAGCAGCCCCCGCCTGTTTTTGTAAAGTGAGTTTTATTGGCACACAGCCACTCCCAGTCACTTAGTGCCGTCTGTGGCTGCTTTTGCCCAGCGAGGCAGAGTTGAGTAGCTGAAGCAGAGATGGTGTGGCCAGCAAAGCCTGAGCTACGTACTGATCGGCCTTTCACAGAGACACTTGCTGCCCCCTGTTCTACAGACTCTGGTTGGTGTGCTTGGAATCCTGGGCGGAAGGTAGCGGGCGGAAGGAGAGACACTGTCCCTCCCCGCAAGGAGTTACTTGCGGTTTAGAGGATGAGGCATACCTAAGACATGGGAGGACCCAGACCAGTGAAGTTAGGAAGGAGGCAAGTTCTAGGCTGCTGGCTGCTCAGGACCCGTCCAGAGTGGTCACAGTGACATCGTCAACAGAAGTAAAGTGCAGCTGAGTAAAAGATTATCTCTTTGCATACTTGAATTTTATAGTTAAATCATTCATTCATTTATTCAAAAAGTATCATGTAGCTCTATGTTCCAGACATTTTTCTAGGTCATGGGCAGAGCATCTCAAAACATCAAATGTTGCGTCTTTCCTGGCCTAGGCACTACCCCTCTTGCATTATGCCATCAGATAAACTAACCTGCTTTGTTTTTAATTACGGACAGCTAAGTCTTAAAGAAAAAATTTTAAGTCATTTTGGCTTTCTCTTAAAGTTCTTCAATTCCATTAAAACCTTGCCCAAGCCAGTTTGCTCAGCGGT